CCCCACCTCTAGGGCTGTGGCCGGTGCCTGGACCTAAGGCCCCAGCTGCTTCTGGCTCCTGGAGGGGAGAAGTTGGGAGGTGGTGGGCGGGGGCTCGGAGGCACGCGCCCGCACGTGCGGCTCGGCGGGTGGGGGTGGGGCTCTGGNTGGGGGTGGGGCTCTGGTCCGTGCGATACCGTGTGTGATGGGGACTCCTTTCAGCTTCCTCCTCACTAAGTCGTACACACAGATAGGTGTCTACCCCACGAGGGGTACCCCCATCCGGCTGGGACCGGGTTCCTGTGCCTTCGGTGCATCTGCGGGCAGACCTCCAGGCCTCCTCACTCTGCCCCTGCGCAGACTGCAGGCCAGAGTCAGCGCTGGGGTGGGAGCGCCAGCACCCTCCCTCGCTCTCACCTTCCGACGGTTGTGCAGGGCTGAGGGTAGGGACTCTTGAAAGAATGCACAAGTCAAATCTCCTTGGGAGTGGGAAGCCGAGGGTGCAGCCCCGAGGAGTTCTGCCTGCCTGTGTGCGCTCAAACCCAGCCTGAACCAGTCATTCCCCCCGCCCCCAGCCTCGGTGTTACCATCTGTGAATTGGGGAGTCAACAGTTCTTATTATCTCACGGGGCTGTTTGATCTTGTCCAGCATTTAGTACAGAGCCTGACCCTGACCAAATGTAGTGACAAATAGTGGTGGTGTCAATATTGATTTCATTTGTGGTCCAGTTTCCCAAAGAGCACCGAGGGTGGGGATAGGAGGATTGCTTGGGCAGGGGAAAGAACTGGGAGTTCAAGTGTGGGAGAGGGGTTTGTGAAGCTGGGGAAGAGTAAGAAAAGGAAGGGAGACCTCTCTCCAAGTGTCCTCCTGGGTCTGTAGGTCAAATTGTGCTGGTGGACAAGGGCCTCCTGGAGGAGGGTCTACACTAAAGCTCCAAATTGATCAAATTGATTCAAGTGTTCTGCGATGGGTTTCTGAGGCTAGAGCGTGGGGTAAGTGCTAGAGGGTGGGTTGGGGATCTGTGAGGGTGGTGGCAGGTGAGAGAGGAAGGTGGCAAGGGCACCCTCTGAACTGAGCTGATAGGTTAGGGGGCAGGGCTTACTGTGGACATATGGAGTGGCTACTGGAGGGGCCTGGAGGTCAGAGTGAGTGTGGGGCTGCCAGCATCTCTACTTTACTCCCCTTGTCATGCCTCTGGGCCAGATGGGACACAGAGACGCCTCCCTCAAGGTCTTACCTGGAGCAGATGGGGAGAGTTTGTGGAAGGGTCTAAGACTAGAGGTGTGTGTGTATGTGTGTGTGTAGAAGTGACCATGGGATGGGAGGCCTAAGAGGGTCTCTGGGGCCAGGGGGAGGTGAGGGCATTGAGTAACAAAAGAGGTGAAGGCTAGTATGTCTCCTCTGTCACCTGGAGAGCCCCTTGGTGGACAACGGAGTGTTGGTGGGTGTTTTCATCCATGCAGAGGCCCCAACCTGAACACAGAGTTTGGACTAGGAGGGCTGTGGGTGTGTGCATGGACAGACTCTGTGTGACCAGGTGAGTCAGCTCACTCTCTGGGGATCTCTTAGGGCAGAGTAGTTGTGGGTGACAGTGGGAGAGAGAAGGCAGTAAGGCCTACTGGGCATACAGACATCCGGGTGAGTGAATCCTTTCCTCAGTTGCACCTTCAAACAGCCTCCAGGAGCAGAGGACATGTAACTTCACCTCCCTGTGCCTCAGGGTCCTCATCTGGAAAATGGGGGTAATAATAGCATCTCCCCCGAAGGTTATTATGAAGACTAAATTAGTTAATCCCTGTAAAGCACTTAGAACTCTGTCCAGCACATGGTGGGTACTCAGTATATTTATTCAACAAATATTTATTGAGCATTTACTACGTGCCAGGCATTATTCTTTCTAATAATGGTAATAATATTATCATTTTATATCTTACTACGTATCAGACACTCTTTGTGGGATGAATGAATTTATTGAGTACCTACTACCTGCCAGGCACCTTTTAAAACACTTTACTTATAGTTACTAATTTAATCCTCACAACAATTCAATGAGGCACCACCCTGGTGAGGAAACTGAGACCCAGAAAGATTCAATCACTTGCCCAAGGTCACATGGCCACCAAGGGGCAGAGCCAGGATTTGAACCTAAGAGGTATGGCTACAGCCTGTAGCTGGCACTGTCACTGTCAGGCCTGCGAAGGGGCTGAGCAGGTTGGGCAGGGTCACTGAGAGGGACAGCCCCAGTGGGACCTGACAGGGTAGGGCTCTCTGCAGCTGGGAGGGCCTGGGACTGGGGATGGGCAGGGGGCGGTGTCAGTGAGCCTACGTGCGAGCCCGGGGATGTTGGTGGGACGTTTGCGTGGGCACCTGGAAAGTGTCTCTGAGTCTCCTGGCACTGAAGTGTGTGAGTGTAAATGTGTGTGAGTATGTGGGGTGCGGGAGCGGAGTGTGCGCGAGTCTACGTGGGAGGCAGTGAGTATACATGTGAACCTGTGTGTAAACGGCCGTGTGTGGGTGTGCGCGTCCAGGTGTGCGTGCGAGTGTGCGCCCGTGAGACCAGATGTGAGCGAGCGAGCTTGTGTGAGTGACTGCGCGCCGCCCGGCCCCACCTGCGCCCCCCCGCCCGCGGGTCCCGCCAGCCCCCGCCTGGACTACGACTCCCG